TTTTAATATCAAAATATTTTTAATTTTAATTTTTTTTATTTATGTTAGTGTTTATTTGTTTTATTTCTTAAAAATTATAAAAAAATTTATCTCAAAATTATATTATTTTAATAAAATAACATAAGAAAAAAATAAAAAATAATTTAATTCGAATTTTAAAAATAAAGTTATTTTAAATGAGAATTTATTGAAATAACATAATTTTAAATAATTTTTTTTCTATTTTTAAGATATAAGGTGAATTAATATATTCCTAATATACTTCTTTTGTTTAGCTTTAGTTAACCTAATTCTAATTTGGAACATTACAATTTAATCATCTATTTTTCTTTTTTAAAATGTAATTTAATGTGTTTATTCTTACTTTAATCTAAATACAAAGAGGACAAAGAGCACTCAATTTGATGATTCGTGTTACCAATCAAATTAAATAAAGAGTTTTCTAACATGAATAGCATCAGTTTATACTACATTTATTGTATTTTTTTATCATTAATTTATATAAAAAATAAAAATTAACTTAATTCTTATTAACTATTTAATTAAAATATTTTACATAATATCAATGTTAAAATAAATTATACTATTATAATTTTTTTATATAAATTAATAAAAATTATAATAAATGTGTTATTTACGTAAAACCTTAATATATAACTCATGTTGCCACTATATGAGCTTTTCATTCACACCATCAAGATTCGAGCTCTCTTGCTCATATTTTTGCTTGTCCTTAACCTCAATTCCCTTCGTACCAAAAAAACAAAAAGTATTATTCACGTGTAATTTAAGTTTGTATTAGAAAAACACATTAAATAAACATGTAGATGACTGAAAGTGAGAGTGAGAGAGTATTGAAACACAATGAACTCATGCTAAAATTGAAGTGTGAAAGTCAAATGTAAATGGTACATCGCAACATAACGAACACCTATGCGACTCTGTCAAGACTTGAAACCCAAGTCCTTGCTACTTGCTACCCTAGCCTATAACAACTTTTGAAATAAGATTTTGGTCACCAACTTAAAGTGGAATTGTTGTCACTCACTTCACACAATCACACTTGGAGAATAAAAACAGGGGAACAGAAGGAAAAATGAATTTCATGGGATAACATTGAAGCCTTTTAGAGTCATATACTTAAGAAACCCTTTTCTTTTAAGTTTTCAACAGTATCCTTTAGACTCACCTGCAGAGGAATGAAATTCACACCCAAGCTTATTGCTCTCTCCTTGGATACCTTAAACAGTATCCCAACATCCTTATCTTTAAATTTTTCGTTGAGGTGCAAATCAGGGTAGAATGCATCTAAGATGTTCAACACCTCAGAATAGTCTGCAGTTCTTTCAACCATGCAATATCTCCCACTAGCTGAAGGCACCTCAAATGCTAGAATATGTGCAAATGCAACATCTCGAACATCGACAA